ATTCCTGCTTGGTGTCAAATATTTATGTCCAAGATCCCTTTTCTTTAGGAACCCAATACACGCCAGCGCTTCCCAGCGGGTTCTCTCCCTGACACGCTGCCGAACAACACCGAGAGCAGCAATTGTGCCGGCTTTCTCGTTTGGCTGGGGATTTGCCAAGCCCCTGAGTTCCCTCAGAGTTACAGCTTCCCACGGTTTTCCCCAACTGTCTCCTACAGATTGCTCTTCCCCTACCCAGCCACGCTAATTGTCTGCTGCTGTTTCAAGGTGTGTTTTTCTCCCCGTATGTACTCGGCACCAACGCTGCCGGGCTCCGTTTCCAGCATCAGAGAGAAGTAAATTTCTTAATGACTTGTAGTGAGGCTTCCCAGAGCACAGAACAAATACAGCGTTTTAAAAATCACTCATAAACTATCCTATACAATAATTTACATAACTGTTACTAATTGCTTTGAATCATGTATGGATCTAGCTGTCAAAGGACGGCTGGGCTCCTCAGGTAGATACCGTTTCTATGCCAAAGCTGCTAGGGGAAAAAAAAAAAATCTACAGAGAACAAAAGCTCTTCTCTTGAGGTAGAGGACATGAATTGTCAAACCCACTCGCCTTAAATTATTAATTAGTAGTCAGTTCAAATAAAAAGAGAACCGTAACCCTCAACCCCCCTTCTCCCCCCACCACACACACACTTTGGAATTAATGTTTCACAGGCGACAAATAAGATCCGTCCCTGAAATAAGCTGCTTGACGCAAGAACAGCTTCGCCACTTAACATGCGATGGCGGAAAAGGGAAAACCAGCCTGTGTATTTGAAGACAAAGCAAGGGAAAAGCCTTCTCACAAACTTGCTTGTTGCCCTTCTGCACCTATCCCGAAGGAAGAAGATTTCAATAGGTCTAGTTTGAATCGCATCCCCAAGAGGCGAGGACCCGAGCTGAGCTATGCCCCCTCGACGCGATGGCTTGTTTCTTAACTGGATTCCTGGCAAGCAGTTGCCACAAGCAAGTCCAAGACAGAAGCCTGTCCCGAAACCCCGGCGTCCATGGGGCACTTGGAGGGCGGACGAGGGCTGCCCTGGAACAAGGCTAAGTTTTGGTGGAGTTAATCCCACGAGAGACCCAGACACCGCTCAAATTCATCCATCCACACAGCAAGGGGAGTTGTACACCAGCTGAGGGCCCCGTCGGGCTCCACAACTCTTCTGTTTTCCTCCTGCTGTCTGACCGTGAAAGTGATGCAATATTAACATTATACAGGAACTCGTGAAGTCAGAACTGTCCAGCTGGACAACTGAAATGCTACTAAAAATGTCACAAAACCCAACAGGTTATACGATGTCACGAAGATAGTGACAATAAGCTGTCAAGTGACATCAGCAGCCTTGAAAGGAGTATAGCAAAAGCAATTAACCCCTTTCCTAATTGATAACTTTGGAATCAATAGTGCTGTGTATTGGCATTTGATTATAGCACATTCACATGCATCTTACCTTTTGTATTTTGCTTTTTAGACATCTTGGCTTGTTTGCTCTAGCGTCCAGCTATACAGGGAGAGGGAGGGAAAAAATAAAGAGTCCTCGCCCTTGAGCAACGTAGCTGGCAGTTGCAGTTCACACACCGCCTTGTATCAATGCGGGAAACGGCAGATATCTGGTTTGGGACGGCAAAATCCCAGCTGCGAGGGCAAACGGGGTCTGGAGTTGTCAGAAATCTGCTGACAGGCCAGCAGAGCACTACAGCTCCTTCCTTTGAAAAGCAACTTCTTGTCACGAAGCCTGACTGCAGCAGTTGGTATCGGTCTTTTCAGGTTCTGAAAAAGAAAGGGGGGGGGGTCAAGTAAGTATCAAATGCCAAAAAGGAAAGGGGGGGGGGGGGGGGGAAAAAAAGAAAAAAAAAGGAAATAAGAAAATTGTTGTGGTACTAGCCAAGGCATACCCCAAGTCTCCCAGCCTGTCAGAGCCGTCTTGCTCATGCTTTTTAAGAGTAAAATTTGCATTTTGTTTAAAGGCATGGTGAAACAACTACCCAGAAAAAAAAGCAACATTAAATATAAAGCAACAAGATCCCTACAGACTTGGTACAGTTTCAACAGGCTTAATTCAAAGCTACTGTAAGACACTAATTTAAGCATGCAAGCAGTAGAACCAGGGAGGTTTAGAACCCATCATAAAAAAAACCACACATTTACACAAATGCCAGGAGTTACGGACGTAAGGGCCATCAGACAGAGTGGACCGAGAGCGTGGTTCCTGCGCGCGGTGACAACACCCGCGACGGCGCGAACTCTCAGCTCTCTCGTGTGTTAATGCAACTGGCATCTCAGCAAAGGCAAAATTCACTTCGCTGCCAGCACCCAAAACCGTCCCAGTTTTAAACGCTTTCTCTGCTTATTTCAAGGGAGCACGAAACACAAACCTGCCCCGCCGAGACCCAGCTCCGCGGGGCGTTACACACTTGTATTTTCCTTGTGCTCCCGGCGCTCCCAATTTAAGGAGCCAGCGAAAGCAGGGGCGGCAGGCACCACATCAAGAGCGATGACAGGTTAAACAAAGAACAACAGGATACACAAGGTAAGGAAACAATAGAGACCTCCCTGCCACGGCAAACCCGCCTAACCCCAAGGAAGGATCTGGCCCCATCACAAAACCTCAAAGCCGTATTCACAATGGAGCGGGAAAACCACAAAAATTGCCCTTTCAATATGTAAAATGCAGATAACTGAAGACGCAAAATATTTTAGTAAACATCAGGAGACCTTGTGCATTTTAGCAAACCCACCAGCTCATGAAAATGAAATGACAGCGCTGAGAAGCACGCATCTAACTTGCTCCAGAAATAATTAGAAGTTTAACTCCCACCCACCCCCGATCAGGATTATTTTTTAGGGATATGGTTTACAAATCCGAGGAACGCAGCAAAGCTCCTGCAACACAAGAACCAGTGACAGTGCCCCAGAGTTCATCGACGGGGGGCTAACAAGCCTATTTTGATTTTAAAATAGACATTTCCTATCATTAGAATTTTCCTTTTCGAGCTACACAGGAGTTCACAACTTATTTCTAACCAGTGACCCTAGCAATCTAAATCTGAGGCAGAGTCAACACTTGCTGTCTGTGCAAAAAAGACTGTGCAAAAGAATTTCTTTACCTGCAAACAGAGTCCTGAAACGAGAGGTGGTTACGAACTCCTGCCTCACCGCCTTCAGCTCTCCCAGTTAAATGCCTTCATTCGTTTTGATGCCTCGAGCCACTAAATACCACCTCATAAAAACTGTGGCATCAAACTCTGCTCAAAAATACAGAAGCTGGACAATTTAGCGCAGGATTAGGCTGCCGTATCGGGATGTGAGCGGCCCCTGAGCTTGACGCCTGGAGACTGCCGGCAGGTCGAGCGCTGAGCTCTGCCGGCCGCGCTAGCGTGGCCGATGTGCTTTGGTTTGCACGATTACACCCAAGTTTCACTTCCCTGCCTGACTGCTTTGTGTCCACGACCAGGAAGCACTCCGCAGGCAGCGCAGCCATCCAGCTGCCGGGAACCTCCGCTACCTCCTGTGGTTTTAAGATAACGCTGGGTTGCGACGAAGGAAAGTGCTCAAGCCCTGACCTATGATACCAGAGTTAAATGCCTTCGGTATACATTGCTCAGAGTTTTACAAACAAACAAACCCCAAACTGTGTTTTAGAGTCATCGTTATAATTTCAATTTTTTTAAACGAAGACGAGCATGCTTTAATCCGGAGGGAGCGTGGAAATACACAGGTACTGACAAAAGCCTGTAACATCGCACTTGAGTACACTCCACGTGAATTCCCTCAAGTTGTCTCAAACTTAATTCATAAAACAAAGGAACACTTAAAAACTGCCTCTGTGTACATCCCCGAAAAGCAAATACCTGCAAGAACATATCTTAGAAACAAGCTGTAAAAATAAAAGTTGCCAGTAAAGAAGTTATCAGGAAATCTCAAAAAGCCTGAAAAACACACTACACCTTATCACCCAAGAAATATACTTTTGCCCACTTCAAAGGAGAAAAATAAAGAGTAATTAAGTCTTGGGGGGAAAACAAACGACATACAGCAGGTTCTGAATTACTCTTTGGCATGCTAAATTCTGAGCACAAAAGTAGTAAACTAATGGACTGGAAACAAAACCCCCACCGATACACGTGTAAAACGGCGAATCTTTACTCCTTGACGGTACAATTAATATTTCATCCGATATACCCCACGGTAAGAACCTAGAGCCAGGCGGCCAAAAGCAGCTCCGGCTCATGTCGGAATCAGGGCGCGGGCTGCTGCATGACCTGCCTTTAACTCGGTGTCTCTCTCAGCAGATCCGCTGGAATTTCAACACGGCTGTTAGCCGGGAACCTGAAACAGATGGGCGCACGCAGGCTGTAAAACACACAAGCGTTTTTAAAACCCAAGTGGAAATCTCAAGACTGGTGAAATAGCAAAGGTTAATGCAAGTTCAAATAAACTCGTTATAGGCGGCGAGCTCCTTCAGATAAGGGCGATACAAGGCTTATATAGCGCACTGTATGTGTCTAAAGAAACAGTAAAGCATCAATACAAAAACGTGACAAATCCACCTGCAGGAGTAAAATAAAATATTGCAGTTATACCAGAATTGACAGGGTGCAATACAACCCCCAGAAACCCCTCCTGTTGCAGACAGAGCACCCAAACTCCTCCCAGAGCTGCCAGCATCCAGCTGATGACATAAAACTTTTCCAAAAATCACACTGGAAACGCACATTATTGTCAAATGCACAATATCAGCATATTCCATCTAATTTAGAAAGAAGGAAAACATCTGAAATTTTACAGACAGCGAGTCAAAAGAGAAATGACTTCTAAATCCCCCACCCGTGGCGTTAGCTTGCCGTGCTATTCTTGCTCTGTCTAGACAGATTATTTCAGTAAACTTTCGGAACTTGATAGCTCCCTATTTGAAGGGAAAAAAGATAAACAGCGAGAAATTTGTCTGGATTTTTTTATTAGTCTACGGAAGATGCTTTTGCTGAGAAAACCTGGAGGTCTGAAGAATAAATAAATCTCCTTCTTGGGAGGGTTTTTACCACGGTGGTTTTGGGATCTCGGGCACACTGGGCTGTCCCCAGCCGCCACCTCACGCCCGGCTGGAGCATAATTCACGCTCTACAGCAGCATCTGGCTAATTGGCTTTTGAGTTAAGTAGTCCCTTACCAAGCTATTTTAATCTTGTTGATCAAGCACGTAAGAGTCGTCTCTGTGAGTACACACCATAGCATTTCAATAGAATAAATTGTCCCGTTAGTAATTTATAATCATTCTCAAATAAAAATCCATTTTCCAAGACTCCAGCACCTGAGAGGACCCGGGTGTTTACCTACAGCACCGGGCTCCCCCCACCCCGTAACGCACTCACGCAAGAAGGGAATTAATTCAATTTTATGGAGTGTCCGGAAAAAAAAAAACGACCATTACACTAGAAATTCAGGAACTTATTCATAGAAGAAAACTTGGAGGAGCAGGTTTAATACACCGACGGCCCATAGGCACAGCCCAACGTTCCTATTGCCTTCGCCGGGTGCTGCCGGCCCCAGCTCATGGCGCAAGCACAGCCTGGTTCTTCCCAAACCTCCACTGAATCCCTAGGGAATTTATTCAGCGCTAAAACCCTAAGACTTGGGGTTTTTCTTTCAGCAAATACCCGTTAAGTTAACAGCAGACCAAAATAAGCCTCTTCATCTCTCACGTTCAACAGATGCCCCAGTTGTTTCAGTTCGAAGAACTGACTTTTTTGCCCTGAAACGGATCACGAAACACGAGGCCAACATTTTAATCAAAGCCAGGCAGCTTTATTACCCCACCTCTGAAAGGAAGGAAGCGCACCGTCCAGCGGCGAGCGCAGCACAAGCCTGACTGTAATTTGGGGTTTTTTCTTCCCCCCCACGCCCCGCCCCAACCGAGACAACCGGTTTTCGGAAGCTCCTTCCACCGAACAATGGCTCGGTCAGAGCACGCGGGGAAGGAGCGGCGCAGCCTCCTCGCCTCTCCGAGCACGGGGCTGGGAAGGTCGAATGCCAGCGCCCAGCCAAACCCCCGCCTGCACAAAGCAGCTCCTTTTTCTATCCTGGACAAGTCCTTTCATGGTACGGGATGAAGGATCGTAAAATTGTACAATACAAAGAACCATTTCAGGATTTAAAAAAATAATTTCTTAATATCACTCTTGGGGTTTGGGGTTTCCGCCCCCCCCAGTATCTCCTCAGGAATGAACTGAACATTTAACCTCAGAGATAATTAGCTGTCTATATTCTGTTTAAACCCACACATTTATTGTTCTTTCACCAAATGCATTATGCAGAGCACGACTAGGCATTAGCTATTCTCAAACATCTACCTCTTATAAGCTAATTGTCTGTCGTTCTGCAGCACAAGGAAGTAAAACTACATCTTTCAGATGACAAAACGTTCCCGTATCTGTTCTGATGATGCCACAAAACCCCACCCCGAGTGTTTACAAATACTT